TTGGGAGCTCTGGTAGCATAGTGGCTAAGGCATTTGACTGCTAACCAGAAGGCTGGTGGTTCAAACCCACCAGCCACTCCTCGAAAGGAAGATGGGTCAATCTACTTCCATAGTGATACTGCCTCAGAAACCCAAGGAGGGGTCGCTATGAGTCAGGTCCGACTCGACAGCACATAACAACAACAACATGTAACAGATTATCATAAGTTAAGTGGCTTAAAACAACTCCCACTTATTATCTCATACTTTCTCTGGATCAGGAGTTTGGGGAGAATTTAGCTTGATCCTCTACTTCAGGATCTGTCCAGGCTGCAATCTAAGTATCAGCTGGGGCTGAGATCTTGTCAGAAGCTTGAGTGAGGAAGGATCCATTTCCAAGCTCTCTTAGGTTATTAAAAGATTTCATCTTCATGCAGCTATAGGACTGAGATTCCCCCCTTTTTTTGTGAAATGTCTTCAAGGGGCAACTTGTACATTCTTGAGACCTCCCACAGTTTCTTGCCATGTGGCTCACTGCATAGGCAGTTCACAACATGGCCTTTTGCTTTTCAGTATCAGGTGAATAATCTCTCTCAGGAAAAATTCAATCTCCTTTTTCAGGACTTGCATGTGATTCAGTGAGATTTCCCTAAGATAATCTCCCTTTGGATTAACTAAAAATTAACTGATTTGGGAAGCATGACATCTGTTTTTCCACACAGACACTTACACTTACAGCAACTTAATGACTTACAGCCCCCAAACCTGCCAGCCCATGGAGTCTTTAACATGCAGCAACTTAGCAAAGATTGTTCTGCTGGAGCGTACACTTGGGAAGTGCCTGCTCATCTTTTAAGACTCATTTTAAGAAGTACCCTTTCTTTATCTCATTTTCTCCAATTAGATTTTGTCTTATTTTGTAAGTTATAAAAAAAATTCATGCTCACTGGAGAGAATTTGAAAAGCAAAGAAAAAGATCATTAAAACCACCCATAATCTCTTATGCCACTAAAAAAAAAAAATCTTCAATATTTTGATATTTTTCCTTCTGGTTTTGTTTTAGTACATACTGGTATAAAAACATAATATAACTTACCAAGAAATTATAAAAATGTGTTTTTAAATTAGGATCATATTATACTCCATTCTTATATCCTGCTCATTTATCACAAGCTTTTCACCGTGTCATTAAAGAATCTTCAGAGTCACTATTTTAAGTGTTGCATAATTTTTCATTGTGTAAATGTACCATGACTTATATAATCATACTCCTATTTTTGAACATTTAAGTTTTTCTCTAGTTATTATTATAAGTAATGCTGCAGTGCACATACATTTTTGTTTACAAGCCTAATTTTTTTTTTCCTCTCATGTTAGATTTCCAGACTGGAAATTACTACTCAAAGAATATAAATGTTTAATCCTGCAATTTGTGCTAATTCCATTAGGCATATTTTGGCTTCACTTCTCTTAAGATCTTATTTTATTTTCTTCATACTTCAAATATAGCTCTCCTCAAAATATGTTGTAATTTTATGTTTATCTGGCTTTATCGCATTTGGGAAATATATTTACTAAAAGCAGGGGCTATGTCTTCTGAGTATAATATACTCAAAGTCAATGCAGCATTTGGCCTGGTTGAATGAAATATTATTTGTTTCAGCATTTCAGAAAATTCATAAGTATAATCATGCATGTGTTTACATGTATATTTATGCTTTTCTCTCTAACAGGATGTGATTTCAGGTACAATTAATCAGTTTCAAAACACTGTGTTATCAGTTTCTAATCTCGTGCCTGATCCATATTTTGATGCTTTCACCAGTCCTTACATTAACAACAAACTTGAAGAAAAAACCTGTGGTTTTGGACCAAGTTTATCAGCAGTATTTGATGATGATAAGAATTTTCATACAATTATTTATCAAATAAAGGTATGTTTACTTGTTCTAAAACTGCTTTATAGTATTCTGATTCATATATCCAGCTTGGTCTCAGATAAGGCACTCATGATTTTTTGTTTGTCTATTTTTTTATGTTACTTGAATTCTGTTTGTTTGCTTATTTATAACATTTAGGAAGCCATTCAGGCAGCATTTGAATCTGCCCAATTATATGCAGCTACTTTTGAAAAGTTCCAGATATTCTTTAAAGAAAATGAAAGTCTTGATTTGCAAGCTCTTAAACTTGCAGAACCTGGTGAGTTTTCTATTTGTCATTACTAATTCATTTTGATAGTGATATTGAGGTTTATAGTCTACTAGGTTTCTGTTTGGTTGTATGTTATGACAGACAATGGCAGTCTGAAAGAGTTGGCTTGAAAGAAGATTTTATTCATTGCAGTGTAGTAAATTACGTAGCGTGGCTTTTCTAGCCGTAAGTCTTTGTAAATTTCATGGTGGAATTTACTATGAGCAACTGAGTAGCTGCTGATTGGTAAAGTTATCCACCTGGGGTATTTCTGTTGAGACTGGCATGAAGCAATCTTCTAGGAAGTTCTCTGTCTCAGGTGTATAGAATTCTGATGTTGGGATTGGTTAGTTTGTCCTATCTGCCAGGCTCAAAAAGAGCACTTGTAGAAGCAGAAGGAGTTTCTCTGACTGCTGGTTGAGAAAGACATGCTCCTGGGAGAAACACACTCCTAAGAGATACACACTTGCTGAGAAGAGAGATGTGAGAGATACACACTGCTGAGAGAGAGATGTGAGAGATATGTACTTGGTGAGAGAGACACAAGAGACTCATACTTGCTGAGAGAGAGATGCGAGAGACACATGCTGCTGAGAGAGTCTGCCAGCTGCTAAGTGAGACGGCCAGCTGTCAGGAACTGAGTGCATTTCTGAACTTGAATTGTAGCCTGTTGCTTCCCTAATAAACCCCATAATCTGTGAGTTCTGTATGGCCACTGCAGTGAATTATCGACCCCAGCAGAGAAGTGGTGGGTGCTGTGGGAAGAACGGTTGGTGCCAGGGTTGGTGAAACGGCTGGAGAGAGGCAGCATGTCTGGCCTCACAGGAATAGGCCTTGGGCTGCTGATTGTGATTCTGTCTTTCTCTTGTGTGGTTAGAGGAGGTCAGAAGATGTAGTCTCCTTGCCCTTTTGGCATTCATTTTTAGATTATTTTCAGTAGATTTATTTTTTTCTTTAGCTTGACTTATAATTCTTTTATTTCAGGACATTATGAGAAGCAATTCATTTCTAATGGTGCATTTTTTGGTATGAAAATAACATAGAGTACTAAAACTGTATGTCCTGTATATCAGGAGAAATTAAAAGGAATTCATACCTCTACACATTCCATTAAATAAAATTTAGATAAGTGTTTTTCTCTCTCAGGGACATGATTTTATTGTACTTACGATCTTCAAAAAAAGAAACTAATTAACAATGTTGTTGTTGTTGTTATGTGCCATTGAGTTGAATACAACTCATAGCAACCTCTCCTTGAGCTTCTGAGGCAGTATCTCTACAGAAGTAGATTACCCAATCTTCCTTCTGAAGAGCGGTTGGTGGGTTTGAACCACCAACCTTCTAGTTAGCAACAATAATCAATTGAAATTTCCAGCCAGGAAGATCTCAGATAATTAGCAAACATTAGGTACATATCATTTGTTATGACTGGGAGCTCTGGTAGCATAGTGGCTAAAGGCACTTGACTGCTAACCAGAAGCCTGGCGGTTCAAACCCACCAGCCACTCCTTGGAAGGAAGATGGGGCAATCTACTTCCGTAGTGATACTGCTTTGGAAACCCAAGGAGGGGGTCACTATGAGTTGGGTCCGACGACGGCACACAACAACAACACTTTAAAGTGTGGAGTATGTCATGTATACTTTTGTATTTTATAAACTAGCCTTATTACTTTATTTTCTTATACACAAAAATAATTACCTAAGTACTTTGCCTCATAAGCCAGCACAAATTTTCCTTCTATAAATTTTTATGTTTTTTTCTACAACCTTTTCTTTTTATTATGCTGATGTATTCTAAAGTAAATTAGACAGTCTATCCCTAACTTAAATATTGCAACCTACATGTGTAAAATACACACTCTTACAAAAACTAAAGAACTAACCATCACTCTTCTGTCAGTTTGTCATACAGTAATTGTTTATGTATTGCGATTATGCTGCAACCTATGCCACCAGTATTTCAAATACCAACAGGATTTCCTATAGTGGACAGGTTTCAGTAGAACTTCCAGACTAAGACAGACTAGGAATGATAGCTGGGCTATCTACTTCTGAGAAAATAAGCCAGTGAAAAGCTTATGTATGGTAGTAGAACATTATCTGACACAGTACCAGAACATGAGCCCTTCTGATTAGAAGGCACTCAAAATACAACTGCAGAAGAGCTGCCTCCACAAAGTAGAGTCAACCTTAATTATGTGGATGAAATAAAGCCTTCAGGACCTCCATTTGCTGATGGGGCATGACTTAAAATGGGAAGAAACAGCTGTAAACATCCATTAATACTCAGAAGTTGGAATGCACAAAGTATGAATCTAGGAAAATTGGATGTTGTAAAAAATGAAATGGAACTTACAGAGATTGATATCATAGGCATTAGTGAGCTGAAGTGGACTGGTATTGGCCATTTTGAATAGGACAGGCATATGGTCTACTATGCCAGGATCAATAAATTGAAGAGGAATAATGATGAATGCATTATCAAAAAGAACATTTCAAGCTCTGTCCTCAAGTACAACACTGTCAGTGATAGGATAATATTCCCATGCCTATAAGGAAGACAAGAAGATCTGGTTTCACAGTGATTAAGTGCTAGCTGCTAATGAAAAGTCATCAGTTGGAACCCACCAGCCACTCCACAGGAGAAAGATAAGTCAGTCTGCTTCTGTAAAGATTTATAGCCTTGAGTAAAATAAGTCAGTTGCAGAAGGACAAATATTGTATGAGCCTATTATTATAAAAAACCAAGGAAAAGTTTACTTAGGGAAGGAAATTCCCTCCCTTTGGGAGGGAAGGGAAGGGAAAATTTCAGACTAGTTGGGGGTCCCATGTTGATTTGGGTCAGGGGAGGAATGGTATGGAAAAAGTCTGTGACCAACATGATAACATTGGGGAAAGGACACTGAAACATGCACATACAATATAGACAGTAGAGGCAAATACTAGTATATGTGTGTTATGGTTAAGTTTGTGTGTCAACTTGGCTGGGCCTGGTTGAGTGGCTGGGCAGCTAGTGGTAGTTATTCCCCGTGGTGAGAGTGGTAATTAACTCCATGGTGGAATCTATTGGAGCAGCTGAATAGCTGTTTGGGTATGTGGTCTGCTTTGGGAATGGTCTCTAGCTTATGGCACACTTGGACCCTGCATGTATCCAAGTTGTTGCTCAACAGCCTGCCATAGCCTGCTGACTTTGGGACTTTCAATGGACTTGGATCAATGGCCTGCCATGTTCTTTGGTAACACTGGGACTGTCCCATTTTATTTGTTGATCTTGGGCTTGTCAGCCTCAGCAGCCAATAGCTGCCTGAGTAAAGAGATGTCTCTAGCTTCAGTGGCCTGGGAGCAAGAGACAGAGCTGAAGCCCAAGGTTGAGGGGCTTTCACACAGCCCCTAGAGCCTGGCATTTTGAACTCGGACTTAAAGCCTCCAAACTGTAGGAGAATAAACTCCTGTTTGTTCAGCCATCCCATTTGTGGTATATTCCTGTCAGAGTGGCACTAGGTAACCAGAACAGAATATGGTACTGAGAGAGTGGGGTGCTGCTCTGACAGATACTTGAAATGTGGAAACAGGAGTGGAGTGCATCCTTTACCCAAGACACCAGCAGAGAGACCCCGGCATGTGGCGTGAGACATGGCAGCAGCACAACCAAGAAACTGGCAGAGAAATACTGGCAGAGAGACCAGCCTGAGAGACGGCAGTAGCAGAGCCCAGAGACCGGCATTAAACAGCAACTGGCTTACCAGCCCATGGAGGAGAAAGCCAGGTGCCATTGGGTAGGCGGCTTCCTGGCAGAATGGGTTGCCTTCAGGCATTAATTGGTAGAAGAGACCAGCATGAGATGGAGTAGCAGGTTGGCCAACCCACAGAGCAAGAAAGCTAAGTGTCCTTTGGGCAGGAAGATTTCCGATGGAGTGGATTATTGCCCTCGGGCATTAACTAGCAGAAACAGAGAGACCAAAGAAACAGGAAGCAAGAGCTGCCTCAGTCTCAAGCGTAGGACCATGGCCTTTGAGAGTGGAACCACCATAGCCCCCCAGGTTTCAAAGAGCCAGACCTTCACCAACTTGGTTCTGGAGTGTGGGGCTGCTCATTCATGTGAGCCAGTGGGATGGAGTCATAGCTGCTGCCCAAGAGTGAGGGGCCAGGGCTAACATGCCCAAGAAGGAGAGGAACGGGCCCCCTTTCTAGGCCAAGGGGGTGCAGTCACTATTCAGGAACTAGGGGACTGGAGGTACCCAGTGGAGGAGACCTGTGCAGATACCACCCATTGAAGATCTGTACAGGTTCCAAGTTGACAAGAGGTGGAATTGTGGTGGTTATATTTGTGTGTCAACTTGGCTGGGCCTGGTTGAGTGACTGGGCAGCTGAATGTAGTTATTCTCCATGGTGAGATTGGTAATTAACTCCATGGTGGAATCTATTGGAGTAGCTGAGTAGCTGTTTTGGGTATGTGGTCTGCTTCCCATATATAAGAAACAGCTTTGGGAATGGTCTCTAGCTTATGGCACACTTGGACCCTGCATGTAGCCAAGTTATTGTTCAGCAGCCTGCCATGTCCTGCTGATCTTGGGACTTTCAATGGGCTTGAATCAATGGCCTGCCATGTTATTTGGTATCACTGGGACTGTGCCATTTTATTTGTCAACCTTAGGCTTGTCAGCCTCAGCAGTCAGTAGCTGCCTGAGTGAAGTGATGTCTCTAGCTTGACATTTGATCCAAGAACTTGGGACTTGCCGGCTTCTATAAGTGTGTGATCCATTTCCCTAAGATAAATTTCTGTTTCTCTATATGTATATATAAGCTTTACTGGTTTTGCTTCTCTAGAGAATCCAGCCTAACACATCTGGTATTGGGAGTGGTTCTAGAGAGACAAAATCACAAGGATGGGCTTCCTAAATTGGTTCTCAGTGATTCTGTTTTGGTTCTCCAATTTGATTAATCATAAAGGCACTGGTGACCCTGCCTCTGTTAATGTGCAATACTGCATTACCACTAACACCAAATA